TCCTGCTGATGTTATATGGATGGACATTGACTACATGGATGGTTTTCGTTGTTTCACATTTGACAAGGCACGTTTTTTTTTTCTCTGTATTCTACATAATATCATTGTTAAGGTAACTCCCAACTGGATTATTCCATAGTGATGACCTCCTTCACATGCTCAAAGAAAAGCAAATATATTCTTGTGAATAAAAGCCATTGGTTCTGTGCCAACAGATAAAGAATGATAATCTTTTGGAAACTGGATTTCTCATAGTTTCCCTTGATTTCAATGTAATGAGTTTTAGGTATTTATATTATAAACGAGAAACGATTTCTCGATGCAATTTTCAGGAGCGTTTCCCAGACCCAAATGCTTTGGCAGAATATCTTCACGACAATGGTTTCAAAGCGATCTGGATGCTTGACCCTGGAATAAAACAGGAGGAGGGTTACTTTGTATACAATAGTGGAACCAAAGATGATGTTTGGATTAAACAAGCAGATGGGAGGCCCTTTAGTGGTATATGACCTCCTTCTCATGATCTTTTTGCCATGTCCCATCCAATTAATTTGGCACTTTCTTCAGGAACGCTGAAATTTTATGTGGTTTCATTAGGTGAAGTATGGCCTGGGCCTTGCGTTTTCCCCGATTATACGAACTCAAAAGTTCGCTCTTGGTGGGCAAATCACGTTAAGGAATTTATTTCAAGTGGTGTTGATGGCATATGGAACGATATGAATGAGCCGGCAATCTTTAAGGTAAATTACAAGGAGTTTTCTTACAAGTGTTGTTTTTTAAGAAGAGAATCTTGTTCTAGTTTTCCCATGGTTTTATTTGTCAATGCTCAGGTTGTGACAAAGACAATGCCTGAAACCAATATTCACAGGGGAGATGATGAGCTTGGAGGCCATCAAAACCACTCACACTATCACAATGTAAGTTCTCTCCCGCCTCATGAATCTCCTACTTTTTGTGTGTCTGATGGTGTTTGCTGTGTTTATAAAGAAGTATTGCTTTTCTTTGCATTGTTCTCTCTCAATACTCGTAAGAATTGCTAGCAGCATCCACATAGGTTCTCATGACTTGCCAACCAGTGAAATTCTATGCCAATGCTCTCTAGATACATGAGCTAGGAATAATTCTGGACATGGAATCTTCAAAGTTCATTCAAAGTTCAATATATTTGGTCCTGAATTTTTTCAGAATGGTGAATCTTTGGCCTATGGATACCTTTTTTTCTCATGTGATGGTGGTTGTACCAGAGAGTACTTCAAGCTAACGTCACCTCAATTTCTCAATGTCTAGGTGTATGGCATGCTGATGGCAAGGTCAACTTATGAAGGGATGAAATTAGCTGATGAGAATAGGCGGCCATTTGTTCTGACAAGAGCTGGATTCATTGGTAGCCAAAGATTCGCTGCAACTTGGACAGGAGATAACCTTTCAAACTGGGAGCATCTACATATGTCTATCCCCATGGTACTTCAACTGGTAAGAATTTCATTAGTTTGATGTTTCTTTATTGCCAAAAGTGTAGAATTGAGTTCTATTATCTTGTATGATAATCCATCTCGATGTGATTCTTCTTACCCTCTAAAATTTATACTTCAAACACATTAAGGGCCAAAGAATTTATACTCATGAGAATTTAGTTAAATTGATTTACGGGGAATTTTCTTCCTTTACTACCGCAGTTCAGAGGGGATTCATATTGTAGTTTGGTCTTGCTAATGCGATTTCTCTCTTTCTATTAAAGCATTATGTGGAATAAAATATGCCTTTCAACTATGAGATGATGAATTGCTTTCAGGGGCTCAGTGGTCAACCTTTATCAGGGCCGGACATCGGTGGATTTGCTGGCAACGCAACACCACGTTTATTTGGACGGTGGATGGGTGTTGGTGCTATGTTTCCATTCTGCCGTGGCCATTCTGAGGCTGGTACTGATGATCATGAGCCTTGGTCCTTTGGGGGAGAGGTAGTATTTTTTGCAACTTCTTTTTCTAATTTTTGCGGGTTTATTTTGATTTTTTTTTTATTAATATGTACTCTTTTAATTAGTGCGAGGAAGTCTGTCGTGCTGCCTTGAAGAGGCGTTACCAATTCCTACCACATTTGTACACTCTTTTCTACATGGCTCATAAAACTGGTGTTCCAGTAGCAACTCCCATATTTTTCTCTGGTAGGCTTGGGAAAAAAAATTTATTTCATGTCATGAACGTATGTAAGAATTTCTCATACGCCTTTACTTTTCTTGATATTGCATCTGTAGATCCAAAAGATCCCCAGCTAAGGACTGTTGAGAATGCCTTTCTTTTGGGTCCACTTCTCGTCTATGCAAGGTTTTCTTCTCCTCATTTAGACATGGATTAATAGGGTTTTGCGTTGTTGCTCTCCAATTTTCCAATTTGTTACTCCCCGTTTCTTGAAGGTTGCAGTTTCCATGAAATCTAATATTCCATGCGATATGTTTTCCGAAATTCGGTGTCTCAATGCTTTATACTATGAAAGTGTTTATTAAGCGTATGATGATCAGATAACCTGTTTAGTGTTTTGTTTAGAAGGCTAATGTGGCTAGAACTATTTCTAGGACATGGTGATTGATTTTAGAAGGGATCAGGCATCGAAACGTGGTCTTTAGCAGATTTACTTCAAACGTTAGTTTGATAACATCACAAGAGAAGACCATCATCTTATTCATACTTCATCTTTAAACACCTCTCTGTCATTTCTGATAGTTATTTTACTCGATAAATTCCGAGAGTTTAGTTGTTTAGTTATTCTTGTGCGTTGCTACCCGATTTGCTATATCTCTCAAACATTTATCTCATTTACCTGGCCCGGCTTGCATTCTATTCTCTGCTAGCACTTCATCTAGCCAGGGAGCTGATGAGTCACAGCATTTGTTGCCTAAAGGAACTTGGTTGAGTTTCGATTTTGAAGATTCACATCCGGTATTGGTTATTCACATCGTCTCTTCTTTCTCTTTGCAGGAAACAATTTAAATTGTAGCTTATACGCTTTTTTTGTTACTTCTTTGCTGATGTCAGGATTTACCAGCTTTATATTTACAAGGTGGATCAATTATACCATTGGGTCCTTCACATTTGCATGTTGGGGAGTCTAGACCAACCGACGACTTGACCCTTCTCGTGTCATTAGACAAAAATGGTAATTGGCATGTCCGTTATCATTTTATATGAAGGATTTTCAAAGACACTGTTGTACATGCGCACTAATACTATGGCCTTGTTCTTCGAAGGACCAGAAATATGTTTGTCTCCATTATGGTTGACTATAGCTAACTCTACAAAATCTTGTCCCTTCTTCGACGAGTACTCTAAATACACATTGAAGGATGCAGAATTGGCGTTTCTTGCTTATGGACAAACTAGATTCTTAACTCTTCGAATGTCGTGATCACATATTAGGCTGTAGAACTTGTTTTGGAATTTTTTTAGCTGTTATGCCTGTTTATCTACTCTGTGACAAGCAGAATATTGAAGAGGAATTCCCCATTGACAGGGAAAGCTAAGGGACTCCTGTTTGAAGATGATGGAGATGGATATGGATACACTGAAGGCATATATCTTCTGACACACTATATTGCCGAGCGACAGTCTTCCACTGTTACCCTAAGAGTTTCAAAAATGGAAGGAGAGTGGCAGAGGCCAAAACGCCGTCTTCATGTCCAGTTATTACTAGGTGGAGGTGCTATGGTATGTTCTTTCCCTCTAACGTCACCTCAATTTCTCAATGTCTAGGTGTATGGCATGCTGATGGCAAGGTCAACTTATGAAGGGATGAAATTAGCTGATGAGAATAGGCGGCCATTTGTTCTGACAAGAGCTGGATTCATTGGTAGCCAAAGATTCGCTGCAACTTGGACAGGAGATAACCTTTCAAACTGGGAGCATCTACATATGTCTATCCCCATGGTACTTCAACTGGTAAGAATTTCATTAGTTTGATGTTTCTTTATTGCCAAAAGTGTAGAATTGAGTTCTATTATCTTGTATGATAATCATATTGAACAGCTTGATACTTGGGGGATGGATGGAGAGGATATCCAGATCAGAATTCCTTCAGAAAGTACAGTCTCAGAGCTTGTATCCAAGAGCAAGGAGTGTTACAATCTTCGTATGGGTAAATCTCATCCTCGAAACATGTCGGTAGCATAATCATTTATTCTGCTTGCTAGCCCTTGAGATGTATTGCTGCCTTTATTTTGTTTGTTGGTCCATTAAAGTCTTCGAGTTTTGGATTCTACCCATCATGTCCTTTCTGGTTCTTCAGCTTTACGAGGCATCACCTATATTCCTTTCTTTTCGTTAAACAAGACACAACCTTCTAGTATGATGCTTAGTTCACCAGTCTCTTTCCAACCTTTGGACCAGTACATGCTGCTTCAGTACTCAGTTGAATTGGAGATGAGGATGCAGCATCAGTGAACTGCAATTTTTCTCATATATTTGATGAGATATCTATCTTTCCAAGTTTATTATGTGGTTATGAATTTCTAAACATATTCATCAGGTATCATTTGTGAAGGTATCCACCTCTGGATTATTAACTAGCTAATTTACTTGTGCATTACCTTGTTTATTGTTGAACATAGAAAATGCAAAACTTCTTCCCGAGAGGGAACAGCAGCTTGGACAAAAGGGAATGGAACTTTCAAAGGAACCAATTGAACTTCAAGCTGGTGACTGGGCTCTTAATATAGTTCCCTGGATTGGTGGAAGAATATTATCCATGAAGCATTTGCCAACAGGTATACCTATAACATGGACTGACCTGTTCTGCAGTCTCTTTCTAATTCTATATCTTTGTATGTATTATGAGCTTTCCCATTAAAGAGCTGAAAGCTGTTCTGATCCATCTTGTGTTTTTATGATCTAAACTAATATTTTGGTAGAGCATGATGTTTTATGTAAATATCTAAATAACCTAAGAATCACCTCATACTTCAGTGTTGAACGTGTTATATATAGGTTGACTCATAAGGCTCCACTGAATCTAGGATATTGGTTTATTCGGTATTGCAGGAGTGCAATGGCTTCACAGCAGGATAGATATCAATGGTTATGAAGAGTACAGCAATCCTGAGTACCGATCAGCTGGATGTACCGAGGAATATAATGTCATTGAGTGAGTTTGCTACGACACTCTCTTACGTGCACATTCATTAGTATACATAATGAAATCCACATTAAAAAAAATTGAAAGCTTTAGAATAATAGAACTAGCAAGATGACAGAATAAAACATAGTGAAATTCTTGAACTTAAGGTTATGAGCAATGTAGGGATTGGTCCACCCACTTGGAGATACCAAGAATGTATAAATTTTACCATTGAATTTAGTTTTCGATCCTCAAGTATAATCCGTAAATATCAAATATAACTTGCAGCAAAAATTGAACTGAAACTGGCTAGGAATATATCCCCCCTGTGTTTTCTTCCTCACTAGAGAATTTAAACCCTTAGTGCTGATGTCAATCTTTAATCTTCTGTAGGAGAGATCTGGAACATGCAGGAGAGGAAGAATCTATTATTTTAGAAGGTGATATAGGTGGTGGAATCATTCTTCGACGTAAAATTACTATACCTAAAGACAATCCCAATGTTTTCCAAATTGCCTCAAGCATTGAAGCCCGTAACGTTGGTGCTGGTTCAGGTGGATTCTCAAGGTTTGCCCTCTTTCTTCTCTACCTCTTTTCGCTGTTACTTTGATGCTTTGCCAGAATTTAAAAGGAATCAAAACAATTGCCATACATAAGTGCCAAGATAATTTGTTTGGAGCTTTCTTTCTACCATGGTGATTGTATCAGTGGCTAGCCACAAAATCTATCTAGGCCATACATAACCGTGGCAGAGACGGAAAAAAAACTGAAAAAATTATATTATAGTAACAGAAAAAGTGGAAAAAAAATCAAATTTCTGTTAGGAAAGTGACCAAATTATTGCAGCATCAAATGACGATTTGAATATAGGAGACTACTTACAAGAAAATGATGGCTAGCCAAAAATGATGATTTTTCTGCATTAACTTTTGCAGGCTGGTATGCTTAAGAGTACATCCGACTTTCACTCTTTTGCACCCCACCGAGACTTTTATCTCGTTCACCTCAGTTGATGGTTCAAAGCATGAAGTTTGGCCAGAATCCGGGGAGCAATTCTTTGAAGGGAACAACCTGCCAAAAGGTCAGTACTTTGACTACTCTTCTATAGTTCGTACAATTCTTAATATCATGCGAAAAGCTGAAATTAGCTAGGAAAGAAATGTGAGAGACACTTCAGCGTATTGTTGTATAGGAGAATCTACAAAACCCTAAAGGAGTGAAGGTTTAGCCTCAATCCTGTGATCCTTCACTTCCTGTAGGAAATACGAGATCTCAACTGCACATGTGTTCCAGCCGAAACTCGCATTGATCATCACTGAATCGTGTGATCATCAGCTGACACTGTTGAGATAATTTGTGTTGAATTCATAATCCCCCCAGACATCAGATGACTACATTAGGAATGTTTCGTTGCAAATTGGGCAGCTTTTGGGATGTATAGAGGAATGAAATATGTGATATGGACAATTGTGTTGGAATCTATCCCGAGAAATATGATAGATTTGAGAATAGATGCATTAGTAGACTTAATCCTTCTGCATTGACGTGCTTCATGGGTATAAAACTCCATTTGCCAAGAACTTCAACGTACTATAATTTTCATTGACAAAGAGTTCAGGATTTTTCCATAAACTGGCCTGGTATTTGAACTGAACTAGTATAGCAAGAAATTCACTGTCCTTTTGACAGAAGATCGTATCTGCATGCTTGGATTTCCATATCAAATAAAGTTTTCCTTGACAAAGAAGCGTTCACGGTTTCCATTAACTGGTCGTGTGTATGAACTGGCTAATATAGCGAGAAATTTGCTACCCTTTTGACAGAAGATCATATCTGATATCAGCATGCTTTGATTTCCATATCTGTAAGAACCGAATTGTTCTTGACAAAAAGTTCAGAGTTTCCATTAACTTGCCTTGTGTATGAACTGAACTAGTATAGCAAGAACTCCGCTACCCTTTTGACAGAATATCATATTTGCGTTCTTGGATTGCGAAAAGACTCACCAGCCGAGTTCAAGGTGTCCTATAGACTTCATTTGATGGGAAAAAAAATCCTTTTTGTTTCAGGTGAATGGAGGCTTGTAAATAAGTGCCTTAATCTGCAGCTGATAAACCGGTTCGATGAGAAACAGGTCTTCAAATGTCTGATCCATTGGGACTGTGGAACTGTGAACTTGGAGCTCTGGTCTGAAGAGAGACCTGTCTCAAAGGAATCGCCGTTGGTAATCAACCATGAGTACGAGGTCATAAGCTTCATATAAACAGTGTTCAAACGCATAACGCAGGCAGAATATTGCATATGAAGACATTCGTCTCCTGTGCTCTATGGCTTCACCATTCTCACGAATATAATTAAAGTTACATGCATAATTACAATGCGTAACAAAATAAAGTTATACATATGAAAATGAAATACAAACAACCTTTACCAAAAAAAACTAAATAAATAAATGGTCAGTTTATGTTCTGACCTGTCTTTTCTGTTCATGCTCTGTTGTGCATTTTCATGTGAGACCGGTCTGGTCCTTTGTGGGCTTATAATATGTGTTGGAGACAAATCTCTACTGTTGTATAACGTTTTTTTTTATAACGGAAATACTATCATTCGGGCGCGCTCATTAGATAAATTTCTGGTATGGAACCAACTTTTGTATATGAATCTTGTATATCTAGAAATTACGTCTCTCGCCACCAGGTGAAATCAAATATCTTTGAACTACATTGTTCTCTCAAATTAACCACTAGACTACCTCTTGGTAGATTGTTATATAATGTTAATAGTTTAAGCTAACTTTTTGGGTTACCATAATGTTTATAGATTTGTGGTTGCATTAAAACCCAAATATTTGGTGGAAAGCCATCTGTTTCGTAATTAAGTGATACAAATTCACTATATATTTTGTTTCACAAGAATTTTCATTGTAATTTTATAGGCTGGTGATGAATGAGTGTAAGAAAAAAAAACTACAACTATTCAAGCCCTTTTTTTCAAAAAAAAAAACTAAAAAATAATTATCTCTATTATCTAAAATCACCCAAAAGATAAGAAAAAAAACAATAGCATTACAAAAAAAAACTTCAAAGACAAACTTTAGGCTTAATGAGTGAAAATTAAATGGGTTGATTTTTTTTTTTTTTTAAATCCAAAACCAAATTTTGGTTGCAAAGCAATGCAAGAAGCGAGGGACGAAAGTAAGCCAGACAAATGGGTAGTGACGTTCAATTTTGTTATCGACTTCTTCGCCCACTAACCCCTCTTTATCTATTCATCTTCTTCTGCTTCTTCTCCATTGATCAATCTGCCATCTCTCTCTCAACATACTTTTTCACTGTTTTTTTTGTAAAGGTTGAGAGAATACATACATACCCTTTTACTTTCTTCCTCCGCCGATTTCTGGGTTCTGGGTTCTGGGTTTTTCTACTTCGCTGGAAAATTCTAAAGCTTTCGTCTTTGATTGAGCTTTCATTAGCTGTTGATTGTGAACCATTCACGTGTATTGTAATTGTTTGGAACTCGGTTTCTTTTTAACCTTAATTCTTTGCAGCTGGGTTTCTCTTAGAATAGTGAAATTTGTGTTCCTTCTTTGTGGTCTTTCAGTGGGTAATTGATTCTGTGGTCTGTGATGGGTTCTTTGATTTTTACTCTCTGATCTCTCCTTGCAGAGGCATTGGGTGGAAGTTGTGAGAAATTGTTACTGAATCATTCTTTGGAGCGGTATAATTTGAGAACTGCGTAAAATGGTTGTATTTGGGAGTGTTTCTGCGACAAATGTTGCGTGCCAAAACAGGTTGGTTGAGGGGCTAACATCTGGTGCTTGTGAGCTAATGGGGCATAGTTTTAGATTTCCTTCTTCTCAAGCCCTCAAGATAAGAACAAGGAGAAGTGCTGGTCGTTTGCAGGTTTCTGATATTTCCTTGAATTCTTAACAAACTGAACAAAGTATTGTTATTATGGTTGAAGAGGATTTTCTTGTGGGGTCTTTGCATAGGTAGTTTGTGTTGATTATCCAAGACCAGAGCTTGAGAACACTGTAAATTTCTTGGAAGCAGCAACCTTATCTTCATCTTTTCGTAGTGCTCCTCGGCCTGAAAAACCTTTGAAAGTTGTCATTGCTGGTGCAGGTGGATGAATTTTAACTTCTCCCTCAGCGGTTTATGTTCTTGATTGTTTATGTTGAAGCTTACCTCTGGCATAATTGCAGGATTGGCGGGATTGTCTACTGCAAAGTACTTGGCTGATGCAGGCCACAAACCTTTGTTGCTTGAAGCAAGAGATGTTCTTGGTGGGAAGGTAACTGTACTGGTTTTTCCGTGCATATACTACGTTAACAGTTCTAAATATTCAGTATCTGCAAACAAATGAACCTGCCACACATTGGAGGTGCATAAGTTGACAGTTGTATTGTTTTGCTTTTAATGCCTATTTTTGCATGCCATTTGTGTTATGAGTAGTATGTAAAGTGGAAAATTGTGTGGATTTAATTGTCCATGGTGTTTGCCTACACGGTTACCATGATATGTTCAAGCACATGTGAAACAACAGATAGGAGTTCACTGCAAAATAGGAAGACAACTGTAATATTTCTTGTGTTGTATTGACAATGTATCAAAATATCCTGTATGTGGTTGTTTGTTCGGTTAAATTTTTTAAAGGTCCTTTGATCAATGATGAATTCTACTTGTTACTCTTTGGGTCATTACCTTGGGCAAACTGATCAAACAGTGAAAACTAAGGCATGAGAGAAGGAAACGAGAGGTTCTTTGGGTCAAATTACACAAAGAAGTGAACAACTGTTCTATCGTTCTCCTCCCGTGATAATGTTTTTCACAGATTGAAACTTAAAAAGTGTTGTCTATATTCATTGTCGGCGCCCATGCTTTTCAACACTATATACAGGAGGAAGCAAATCTTTTGTTTCATTTCAAGCAAGTTGTATTGTTTTTTGTTCTAGAAAATCTGCTGACAGTGTTAAGTTTGTCTTCCTCCAGGTAGCTGCATGGCAAGATGAAGATGGAGACTGGTATGAGACAGGATTACATATATTCTGTAAGTACAAATGCACATCCTTTCTGCCGCTTCCACATCGTAAAGAGAGCCATAAAAATTTAGAGCAATGTACTCTAATAGTAATAAATGTTCCTGAATTTTTTGTTCCTATTGGCTTCCCCACCTCTCCCCATCATATCTAGAGTCAAAATATGAAATAAATCTTATGATTAACTGGCTAACCAAAGTTATATTTTAGTTCATTTCTTTTCCGTTTTATTTTTTTCTTTTCTCATGTGAAATCCATTGCTTGGGCTTGACTCTCTATACATTTTTGTTGGAAGTTGGTGCCTATCCAAATGTGCAGAACTTGTTTGGAGAACTCGGAATCAATGATCGGTTACAGTGGAAGGAGCATTCCATGATATTTGCTATGCCAAATAAACCCGGAGAATTTAGTAGATTTGATTTCCCTGAAGTCCTACCAGCACCCTTAAACGGTGAGAAGATAAACCGACATTAAGATTATTTAAGTCATCTATTTATGTATAAGCAGAAATCAAACTATCAAGTAAGATAAAATAGGAAGGTAACCTTGAGTTAGTGACCAAAAGAGTTGTTGCTGTGATATTTAATTTTTTAGGTATATGGGCCATTTTAAGAAACAATGAAATGTTAACGTGGCCGGAGAAAGTGAAGTTTGCTATTGGACTTCTACCGGCTATGGTTGGTGGGCAGGCTTATGTTGAGGCTCAAGATGGTCTATCAGTTAAAGAATGGATGGAAAAACAGGTAAACAGACTATTTGATTTCATAATTCCTGCAAAGCTAATGCCAATGGTGTCAATGATTGTATCTTGTATCGAAATTGGTTTTGCTGAAACGTATCACACATTCCAACTCTTTCTAGAATGATATAATTTGCTCATCAGATTATTATGGTTTAGTGTTTCATCATGCTGCTCTTTGCTGGTTTCGATTTGTTTGTTTTGTATTCTTCCCTGTCATTAGCTGTCTACTTCAACTATGACCATCTTGTTGTTATAGTTAGCTTCTTTTTTTGTTCAAGTTCATGTGGTTGCTTTTAGCATTTTTTCACATGCATGTGCTTGTATGTCTCCGCCAAATAAAGAAATCTTAATCAATTTCCTTTATCCTTTTCTTTGTTTTCCTGGTCATATATATTCTTCCAGGGCGTACCCGAGCGTGTGACTGATGAAGTATTCATTGCAATGTCAAAGGCATTAAACTTTATAAATCCCGAAGAACTATCAATGCAATGCATATTGATAGCCTTGAACAGGTTTCTTCAAGTATGACAACCCTTCTTCTCATAATTGTTTTCTTCTTTTCTTCCTTTATCATACCCAAACTTATTTGTAGAATGTTTTAAGAAGATTATCCACAAAATTCCCAGAAAAGTTCTACATTATGCCAAAACTTTACGTTGGAAATGTTATATTATGCTTATGCAAATCGTAATGACAGGAAAAACACGGTTCCAAGATGGCATTTTTGGATGGTAACCCCCCGGAGAGGCTCTGCATGCCCATTGTGGATCACATTCGGTCATTAGGTGGGGAAGTACGACTAAATTCTAGAATAAAGAAAATCGAGCTCAATAAAGACAGGACAGTTAAGAGTTTTGTACTCAGTGATGGAGCCAATATCGAAGGTGACGCCTACGTGTTTGCAACTCCAGGTCCTACTTCTATGCCCTTTTTATGGATTTGCATTTCATCTGGACTTTCATTTCCCATTTTCTCTAATTTGCTCTCGACGTTTTCTTATAGTTGATATCCTGAAGCTCCTTTTGCCGGATACCTGGAAAGAATTATCATACTTCAGGGGGTTGGAGAAGTTAGTTGGAGTTCCGGTTATTAATGTTCATATATGGTTAGTGAGATCTATAATATCCTGGTTATTTTCATTGTTTGCTTGCAATAACCAGAGCTTCAAAGTGCTGTTTCAAATGGCATTGGACAGGTTTGACAGAAAACTGAAGAACACATATGATCACCTACTTTTTAGCAGGTCGGTTTCCTATTTGATGCCGCTTTTACTGCATTTTTGCATTCACATCTATTTTTCCTATACCATTTCTGAGGTTAGAATCTTTTGTCCCAAATCGTGCCCAAAATTTTCTTCAACGTATCTAATCTGAACCACAAAAGGAATCTATAGAAAAAAGCTATACGTAATTCGTTTTTTTTTTGTTTCTTGAACAACATGAAGTTCATCCTTGGTGACACTTTTCCATCTGTTCTAAGCGCTCTTCTTTGTTTGTTGTTGTTGTTTTTTTTTTTTTTTTTTTTTTGCAGAAGTGCCCTCTTGAGTGTATACGCTGATATGTCGTTAGCTTGTAAGGTAAAGTGGCTTCTCCTTGTCTGGTTTTGAACTGTAACTTTCATGGGTTCTGCAGAAGTTTTGGTGCATTGAATTCGGTTTACTCCTTACCTTAAACCCTCTTGGCTTATCTTCGGTCTGAATTTGATGTAGCAATAGTCTAAATCGCCGATTTGTATTCTGTTACGTATGGGAATTTTTATTTGATTTTTTTTTTCGGGTGTAGAAAAGTTGAAAGCATAGTCTTCTTGAAAGAGCTCCATGCTACTACGTATAGAAAAACCTTACAAGGCTTTGTGTTTTTTGTGTTCTGTTTTTTCTGATTTCGTGTAGGAATATTACGATCCCAACCGGTCGATGCTGGAATTGGTTTTTGCTCCGGCGGCAGAATGGATCTCGCGCAGCGACTCTGATATCATTGAAGCAACGATGAAGGAACTCGAAAGGCTCTTCCCTGATGAGATTACAGCTGACCAGAGCAAAGCCAAAATCTTGAAATACAAAGTCGTTAAAACTCCGAGGTTAGCACCATTTCTTTAACTTTAAAACGAAAATATTGGACACGAAATCTGATACCTTCGGGCTTTGACCGAGAAGGCCCTCGTATGGGTGGCCAGGGCTTTTAGCCCGAGGAAGGTTCCGAGGGTTTAGTTAGATATGGCATTTTTCCTACTTTTTTTATGGTAAAAAAGCCAGAATTTTGTTTATTCGACCCAACCTAACCCGACCCATGGATCGGGTACCCGACTATTACATAAGATCGGGTGTTGTTACTAGGGAGACCCGAAAATCAGTTCGGGTTTTTGGTATACTTGCGTGCGAGATTGGGTATCAGGTACCCAAAACAGTAAATTGATGTTTTTACCCTAGGTTTTAAAGAAATTATGTAAAAAAAACTAGGGTTTTGGATGAAATTATTTTAGTTTGGATTTGGGAAACCCGAAAGCTTGAAGATTTGTATTTGAATCTCGGGTTCGATACCCGGCCAGAACGAGTCCAAGATCGGGTAATATCTCAATGAGACCCGAGATGTTTGGGTGTGGTTCGAGTAACCCAAAAATCTCGGGTAACCGACTTGTGCCCATCTCTAAAGGGAAAGATTCGCAGACTCTTTAAGTGGTAGAAAACTATCAGAATCTTTTACCGAAATATCAATTCCATCCCCGATGAGAAGAAACAGTTACAGACCCGTTTTTTTTTTGTTCTCATGTGAACAGAATCTTGATTCTTGACCGATAATGGTATTCATTCATGCATCAGGTCCGTGTACAAGACAGTACCGAACTGCGAACCTTGTAGGCCTTTACAAAGATCTCCTATACAAGGATTCTACTTGGCCGGAGACTACACTAAACAGAAGTACTTGGCGTCAATGGAAGGTGCCGTCCTCTCTGGGAAGTTCTGTGCTCAGTCTATAGTTCAGGTACGCTTCTGAAAACCCTAACCCCCGTTTCTTGATATTTAAAGCTTTGCTCTAAAAACCCGAAAAACAAATCTACTACTAGTGGTCTGAAAATTAGATTCAGTTTGGTCGTTAGGACACCAGTTCCAGACAGTTCGGAACCTAAACTGGTTATGATCACTGTTAAATCGGCTTGAAAACCATTATGCTTACGAAACCCGATCCGTTTTCTTGATATTAACAAAGCTTACACTCTGAAACTCGAAAACAATCTAGTGATTAGATCAAACGGACTGATTGGTCTGAAAATTAGATTCAGTTTGGTCATTAGGACACACCAGTTCCGAACAGTTTGGAACCAAAACTGGATATGATCTGTGAACTAATTTAACCGGAACTGAGAAACTGATTTGTTCAGCTTATATCAACTCGTCCATAATCATTAGAGTCCTGGTTTTGTGGGTATTGATATTTCATCAGGATTGCGAGCTTTTGGCTGCTTCCGGGCCAAGGAAGTTGACAGAGGCAACTGTTTTGTGAAGTCCTTTTTACTGCTTGTTGAAGAATCTGATCAAACTTGTGTGTAGATCTCTTGCAAAGGAAATGTATGTATCCATTTTTCCTTGTTCTATAAAATAATAACATATCATATCACATACACATACATGTTACACATATACGCACATATATACATGTGTGTATCTACATCTGTATAAGCATGTGCATAAACGTGTATGGATGTGTATATGTATACATGCATTTTTTCTGTGTTCTTTTATGATGAGATTTTTTGTTGGTGCAACGCTATTTCAATTTACCGATCAATTCTATTACAAGGTTCCGTTAACAATGGTAACAAATCTGACAGTTTTGAATAATTCTTGTAGTTCCATAAAGTTTGCATAATTTCTTACCAATCTCTGGTAAATTCAGGTTTCTCTCTCTTTTCCACATAAAAGAGAGATTATATTTAGAACACAATAATTCTAAAATCATACACAATAGCTAAAACTACAAGATAGTTTACAATTCACGAATGTAATATAAATTTTTTGTTGGCAGAGAAGAAACATAACAAGCACAAAGAAATGGACAGAGAGAAGGAAAGCATATAAACAAGAATCCTCTCCTCCACTGCATTGAATAGACAAAACCAAATGCAAAAATACAAAACCCCAAAAAAAGACAGTCCTCAACCTCATCTCCTATGAACTGAACACCACATCAAATGATATCCGATGCAAAAACAAAAAACCCTTTTGAATATGGAAACGATGGGAAAGATTCAAGAAAAAGATAAAACCTGGTTTAGGCTCATTTGGGTTCTCAAGATTGAACGGACAGCTTCTGAAGATGCTCGAAAACGACTTGCAAACTCACATCATCGGTGAAGATAATGTCCGAGCCAGCCGCCATCTCATTGGCGTTATTGTACGTCGCCGATGGGTTCAACTTTGCCAACAAAAACCTCGCCTGCATGCATTATCATGGGAACATATGTGAACAGATAGACAGAAAGTAAAGTTTTCCGAGATGCATTAATGAGCCAAAGGCTAGAGCTTGCAATAATATGTAGATCTATTTTCGTGTAAATTTACCTATCATACCCTGATTATCAACTCTGATAAACAGAAATTTGCAGGTTTTGAGATTTTCGCATGTGTCCGATTACCCATGGGCACCCTGACCGTCAGCCGCATACCCGTCTCACGAAGTTAGAGACTGAGCAACTTCGGCCATGAAACCCGTGGGGTGAGGCCGAGGATGGGTAGTCAACTCGCACCCATCCCTCTAATGCAATGGGAACATGCTAATACGACAATTCTATGGTCCATGAATGGCATATAGGTCGAATGTCAAGATATAGAACAAGGGCTAGAAAATAGAAATCATCAAAGAAAATTCATCTCGGCTTGCATTGCCATATCAGGAATCGAATTCCAAACAAAATGCAAGAGCACGATTATAGATAAGAACGAGAAAAACTGACCTGAGATCCATGTTGATCACACACAACTAATCTTGGGACAGGGAAACGGTCTCGAACTATCGCCTGCGCATCCTCTTGAGGAGCTTCCAACAGTTGAGCAAAGGCCTAACACAAGTGATTACAAATATCATCATCAGCAAATTTATCACGACATTACCGATATGAAAACATCGTATCATTTAATAAAAGGAACATCCTAGACTAAATGTATCAGTTTGGTTTCCCTTTTTTTAGATTAAATTTCAACAACCCAGCTCAAAAGAACGATACTTTTCATCATATGCTTATCTATGATTACGGATGACAATCTGAAATTTTCCAAATGCTTTCACAAAAAAAAAAAATTATAACTTGAGAGCATACATACCGCATGTTCGGGCTGATGCTGATAACCCATGTTTCGCCATTGAGCTATAGTCATTCCATGGAAGACGACGACACTAAAATAAGAATCTAATAAAAAAATACAATCGGCAGTAATGGAAGCCACATCCAACAAAGCCGGCTGAGGCAGAGAATTGAACGAATATGACGTCAATGATGGTTGGATCATAACGGCTGTGTTCGGAATGTTCTCCCGATTTAACAACATCCGAAAATAGGCGGTTTCATCCGGGCTATTGTTAAGGACCTGAAAAAACATAAAGGCCACGAAAGAAGACATGATCCAACTGTAGGAAAATTACATGAACAAAAACAACTGTAGATATTTTACCTGAACAAATTGTGATCTCCGCAAATTAAACATGAACTGAGGGAACAAGGAAAAGTATGGATTTAGTGTGAAGGATGATGGATCATCCTTTCTATAGTCACCGAACTTAGAGCAAAAACGAATGAGATTCCGATCTAGCCACCGTGTAGCATCAAATCCCTCCTGAGGAAAAAAACATGACAGATTTCTTACATGAAACAATTAGATAACAGAAACTACCCATTAGAAGATATACAAGTATATTGACTTATTGTCTAAGAGATGAAAGCTAAATTTCACAAGGGCCAGCCAAAATACAGGCACAGTAAGTCCAGATGTTGGTAAAATCTTTTTCGAGGAAGAAATGAAATCCCCATCACGTTTTATTAAAACATGACCTTATATTAGAAGTCATATGCAGCACCAAGAACTGATACACCCAGAACAAGAAACTAGCACCAATTTGAATCCATTGGTTTTAAGCAATAAGAAAGTTGACAAATACCTCGGTCTCCATTTTCAAGGAAGCTAATCTCGCCATTACCACAGCAGCGGTTTCTTGATCAAAGCCTTGCACAAGTTCCTACAGATGTACATAATCAACATAGCTTGCTGGTAAGCTTTTTGATACACATAGGTAGAACAACTTCATTAAAAGAAACAAATGCATAAGAAAATGGCTTGTAAGCTAATACTTGCATCCAATTTATGCAACTACTACCAACCAAACCAAATAATAACCCCGAAATTAACCTGAAACCGATAATAGTGTGAAACAGGGGGGAATTTTATTTGGAACGTTGTTTCATCATATCATTTTATTATTAAACTTGTGCATGAATGAGTATCAGACATTCTCCGCAGTACCTTTAACTGTTTAAAAACTAAGAGGAAGCAAAACATAAAAACTGCCTAATAAAAAAAATACAATCACAATGAAATTTCTAGGTTTATCAGGGAGAGGAAACGTTAGACAAAAATCATAGTTTTTCCTAGCACGGATAGTGTTCATGAAAGTGCGTAAAGCTGAATTCTTATGGAGGGGAAAAGCCCAAAAGAGCAGTGCATGGAACAAGGTGATTGATCAAATCTTGATGTCATGGATGAAGGAAGAATATGCTGAAGATGCAGAAACAATCTCAAGTTTTTCCATAAGATATTGACATGAAGTTGAGAGTTAAAGAGAAAGCAAGTGAGAAGATCAGGACTAACCTCAGAGCCCACAGAAGTGTCTATCCTCTGTCTGCTCATAGTTGTAACGTGGAGCAATGTTTGACCTTCAGGGTTTTGGTAACTGCAATTACGTAATAACAGTAAATACATCCAGGGTAGAATAGATGACAGGAAAATAAAAAGGACAAGAGAGAGAGAGAGAGAGAGAGACTACAACAATACCATGTGAGAAATTGCAGATACAACTGAGGATTTGCAGCCCCGGGAGCATTTGACCCACTTGAAGATAGATCAAAAAAGACTGTCAAGCAAGTACTCTTGTCGAGGCCACACAACTTCCAAGCAGTAGTATTTCCCTCTCCAATGACTGTGTCAGCAACACTGGGGCCTTTCTGCATCGAGCCAAATGACAATATTAAAATCAATTAGGAAGAGATATCTTCATACATTTACATAGCACTAAGAACAAATCTTGAGACAAGTCGGTTTTTCAAGCATTCCGGGTTTAACCTTCTCTAAAGATGAGCAGGGCCCAATAACCCCTTGAATTTTGATGTCCTTTGAACAATTGACCTCAAGCGTGCCACTGACAATCAACGATTAGATGTCAGACAGGGACAAAGCAGAGTGAAAAAATGTTGTCTCAGGATGTAAATAAAAAAATAAATAGTGTGACTCTCTAAAAGAGAAGGAAAAGATTGAAATGACAACAGAGTACTCCTTGTGATGTAACATAAACTAAACATAAGATAGTACTGCAAAGAAATTTGAGCCAGAACTTACTTAAAGCAGAGGCCGAGAGCATCATCAAATACCCGCTTGAAAGAATCTTTGAATACAGAATGCCCAAAACTCTCAGATAGAACAAGGCCACCGGTTCTTTCAACTTGCAACTTTCATTTCAGCAACCCCAACCTAACTATATCCAAAATGCAACAGCAAAGGCAACTATAATTAGATACCCGATCCGATTACAAGAACTAACGATAAAAGATAAATCCACACTTTCGAGGAACTAACAAAGATATGTATTCATTATTAGCGACACATATTGAAGAAACGTCAAAGAAACAGAATCGGAGATGCATTGCATCAAAATTAACAAGTTCGAACGTAAAGAAAAAAACCAGAATCGGGGCATCCACAAAACATATGAGCATTACAAGGCAATACCTGGTCAAGTGCAGAAGCAAAATGGTCTAACACGTGACCCTGGTCAACAAGCTGCTTTGCAACGCTATCATAGAACTTGACAGCCTTTTTATAATGAGCAGCATCTTTATCAAGATCTTTGTGAGAACGCACAGGATCTGATAAATCCTTTGAGACAATCTGTGGGAACGACAAAAGAAGGATAATTTGCCCGGAAACATTTCAGGCATGCTTCACAGGAATGGTCTGACTAAACTTGCCAATGCCTTCAACAGAAGCCTTACCGTTCCAGCGCCTTCAGTACATGGACTGATGGACCTCCGACCAAAGCTACAATTCGAGCACCAGTCCCAGGCAAGGAAGCTCCAAGCAATCCAGCAGCTACACTCAGTGCCACACCCGTGCATCTATGAGGACGATGACCAGGTTGAACAGGCCACTGGTCTGTTTGTAGCTCATCCAAAAGCTGAATATCAAACGTCACCCAAAAGAATTTTCAAAACCTATACTGCAACTGCGTGTAAAACTCAAGAGCAGATGCATCAAACGAAATCTGTACGCTTGTTTAAGCATACAGATTTCGTTTGATTAAAACCATTGTGCCACGTGTATTGAGCGTGTATCGGAATCTATCCAGAAAATTAAAACCACTGCCCACCGAATTGAGCGTGTATTCGCACTCAGAGACAGGGAGCAAGAATCTGTTAACGCCATCACTCTGGAATCCGTTTTGCATTCCTTTGGGATACCCAGAAGCAGGAGCTCTCCTTGAAGAAGCTCCAAGCCCCAACTGATCCA